TTTTTTTTTTTTTGGTACTGGGGATTGAACTCAGGACCTTGCACTTGCGAGGCAGGTGGCAGAACCACTGAGCTACATCCCCGGTCCTCAAGGGAGACATTCTGAAGAGCCACTTTGGTAGAAATTCCTTGGGTGTTCCTCTCAGCAGCCTGGTTTCAGATACTTGAACAGGTACATTCAGTCCCCACATTCTCAAGAGTCGCTTGACTTCAAGAGAAGCTAAAGGCCGGCTCCAGATCACAAAAGTGATTCTCTAACATGTGTACCCACGGTCTGAGGATGCTGCCGGAGTGAGTGGAGCAGTCTTCTTGGAAGAGGGTGATGGGAGCAGATCACAGGGCTGTCAGGGCAGAGCCCACTGTTGGGGAGACATTGGCAGGATGAACTTCACTGTCTACTGAGATCATCTTTAAAAACATGCTTCAGTATTCCAATATTGAACTTCAACATTCAGTGATTTATTGAATATTTGTCAGTAAGTAACTAGAGCTTTTATATCCTAATTAAATAAATGAGCTGATTTATAAAGCAGAGAAGGCTTCTACTGTCTTAATTAGATCACTTTGTGATTTATTGAATATGTGCTACAGAAAAGAAACCATCAAACAGACGACTCGGGATTTATTGTTAATGTCATGAGGCTACTCAGAAATGGAGAAAAGACTAAAATAGATTAAATGTAAGTAGCATGAGCGATTAATATTGTATAAAATATGCAAAATTAATTAGCTACCAGCTTAGCTTTTTTTTAGATTAGCTGGGTTTTTTTGAGGTTTCAATATTTTTTCAAGTTTTATCTTAAGTGATGTTAATTACAGCATTTGAAGGGGAGGATCTAATTCCACACAAAATGGAAGGCTGTAAAATGTACCCATTAAACTTCTGAAAAATAAATTGAATGGTAAGAGTACAACATAAGCCCAATTTAGATTCCTAGTGTTGTCACCGTGTGATTACAGTCACGCAGACTTCCCAGCTTGTAGCTGGTCATACACTGGTGCAAGGGCAAAAACCCACAAGATGAAAAGGAATTAAATTCTGAATGACTGGCTTCATTATATCCACCTTCTCCACCCCAGAATGGCACAAAAGAAACAGCTACCACACCCTGTGGGCTACTTTTAGTGTAAAAGAGGTGAGGAGGGACTAGGGTGGGAACAGGTCCTCAAGATCTGTCTGAAAGAGTTCCTTTCAGATGAGTTTGTACACACCATCAAGCCTTGGGCTTCTCACCAATTAGGGTTAGGAAACTAAGGTTTGATTCTCAGAAAGTCGCCATTTCATTCATTAACTCAGTGCAGATTTACAAAGTGTTTACACATGGTCAGCTTCCACTTGCAGCCACATCTAGATTTTTTAAAAAGGAACCTGGCATCTCTAGAGGGGCCACCAAGTTGTCCCAAGTCTACAGCTGAAAGGACCTTTTTAGGAATTGGGTTTCTTTTGTGCCTTTGAATTGGTAACACCTTAAAGCTGAATCATCTTTAACCTGGAGCTCTAACATGATTTTTTAGCAATTCTTGCATCCCAGACATACAACATTAAAAGGTATACTAAATTCTGAAGGTAGCTATGCTGCAAAATAGTTTAAAGTTAACAATTGTACAGTATTCATTTATGCTTGAAATTCCAGTCCTAGACCAAGTTTGTGGCCTCCGGCATTGCCATTCTTGCCATCCAGTAGAGCTTACAGTGTCAGTTTGATTCCTGGCTTTAGGGTCTGAGTATATCCTAAACCAATCAGGATGGAGTTGTTCACTCTGGCCTGAGAGGCAGGCTTTGGGGTCGATCTGATACTTGGCTGCTTTTCTGAAGCGAGTGTTACTGTTTCCCGCTGTCCCAGCAAGATTGACAGCAGTCTCCAGCTTCTTGTTCACCTTCTGGTAAATGAAGTCACCAAATTTTGTCCCGTCATTCACCTTAGTGTGAAGCTGGAACTCATCTGTTTTGTAACCAACTGCAAAGTTGCTCTGGGTCACTTGGGACTTTGCAGTCTCAAAATTCATCTGGTAGCCAGCCAGCCCTCATAGCCCAGCACCAGCTCCACGGATCGAGGTCCCTGTGAGGTCCAAGTCCACATCACAGCCCAGGTTGATGTTGTCCCGCTTGTACCCTGCCTTGATTGTAGCTTTTCTTCCCCCCGTGTTAGGTGAGAAGGATGAATCGAAGGTCAGCTTCAGTTCACACGCAAGCTGATCTTCCACAGTGAGCGCGGTGCCCAGGGTGTTGTCCGCGGTCCACTTCTCTTGTGAATGTCGGGCCGTACTCGGTCCACCTGTACATGGTTTCCAGACTTCCTGTCACTTTGCTGGTCTCTGTGTTGGCTGAGCCCAAGCTTGTGAGTTCCAATCCATTCTCAGATTTGGTTTTCAAATCAAGTTTTATTAATCCAAACCCGTAGCCCTTGGTGAAGACATCCCTGGCAGATTTGCCAAGATCAATGTACGTAGGAGGCACAGCCATCTTCTGCCGGGCAGCAGTGGTGGCGGGAGCCAGCGGCTACAGCACAGTGCGCAGCGGGGAGTGGAGCCTAGCTTTTTAAAATCTTAATTCAGGACATTTAGTGAAAGACTGTGAAACAGGTGGGAAGGACATTATAAAAATGCTTTCATTTCATCGTATAAATTTGCATAAACTTGTGTTCTCCTATTTGATCCCCTACAGCTCATGAATACTCTTTGCATTTCGATGATTTGCTGCCTTGTGATTTTTTTCAGTGGTGCTGTTGCTTCTCTGGGGCTGTGAGGGTGGAGACCAAACCTTAGTCATTGTTGTGTCCCTGAAATCCAGTAGATATTTGACTCACAGAAAGGGCTCAGTGGATATTGAGCCCTCTGATCAAGTGAGTCATTAAGCTTAATGAACAAATTATTTTTGACACCCAGACCTTCCCCCAGGGAGGTCCAGATTTAATTTCCCTTTGGCTTTGCACAGCTAGAAGTCATAAGAAATATAACATCTGAATCTTGTGTTAGTAGAGAGCAGATGAGTTGCTTTGTATTTTAACAGCCTTTTGAGGCTGCATGACTCTCATCTCTATTTTACAGATGAGGAATATGTATACGGCCTGGAGATTTTACGTTATGGGCCCCAAATCACACACATGATAGAAACAACATCTGAACAAAGAAAATATATTTGACTACCAAGATAAACTGCTTGAATTTTTTTTTTTGGCCATGATATAAATGAAAATGTTTTCTCTGTTGAGCTGTTAGAGATTTGAAATGAGTGATTACATACAATGTGGAAGTTCACTATGGAACGATTTCATTTTCTCGGCTGAAAATAAAATCATTCTTGGCTTCCAGTGCCAACTGGTTGACGTCACATTTCCATGGATGTCACTGGGGACCTAGTCATTGCAAATGCAGTAGGGCTTTCTCCACATTGATCTTGGTTCCATCCCCCCGCCGCCCCCTGACAAAGCCTCATGCAGTCATAGGTGGGGCTTTTTCAGAGGTGGCTGAATCTAGAGTGTGTGACTGATTTATGGTGCAATACTAGGATTGAGGGTGTTAGGATTAAGGGCAGATGATTACTAAATCAGTCCACTGATTGGTTTGGTACCACCCTAATCCCACTATAAGGGACAGAAAGAAGCTTGTTTTGTTTCTTGCTTGCTTTGCTACCTTCTGCCTGCCATGAACTGTTTCTCCTCTGCCATGCCTGTCTGCTCCACCAACCTGCCTTGGAGCCAGCCAGTTATACACTGAAACCTCTACAAAATGTGAGCTAAATAAACCTTTCCCCCTTTAAATTTGGACATCAGGTATTTTATCTCAGCAATAAGAAAAGTAACTAAGACAGCAGGGTTGATGCTGTTCTCACTTTTTCCTTCATGTGAAGGTATTTTCTTTAGGTCTGCATGAGATTATTCTTAGTTGTCTGGCTGCATTTTTTTCTTTTTTCCTTTTTTTTTGGTACTGGGGATCGAACTCAGGTCCTTGTGCTTTTGAGGCAGATGGCAGAACCACTGAGCTAAATCCCCAGCCTGGCCTGCATTTATTTCTACTGTGTCCTTTACTGTCTCTTCTTCTAGTTTAACTGTTGGTTCCGGGATTTTCTCCTGGGACATTTTCTTCTAATTTTGCCCTTGGTATTCTAAGCAATCTCATTTCCTTCAGCAAACACCCATAATCTTCATGTCTCCTGAGTGCCTGGATTGTATTTCCAGCTGTTGACTCGACATCTTTGCCTGAATGGCCCTCAGACTCCTCCAACTCCCTGCAAATGAATGTGACCATGTCCTCCATCCTGGAACCAGGCTACCTCCTCTTTTCTCTAATGTTGCCATAATAGTTGCCCAAATCAGAAATTTAAGTCTTACTCTGGAATTTTTTAAATTACTTCCATCTGGTTGGTCAGCTTACCTCCTCAGCTTTTCTATTTCTCGCCCACTGCTTCTGCTTTTACTTAGACCCTTGTCATCTTTTCTCTAACTTTGGACAACTTTTCTGGTAGATGTTCCAGCTGCCAGCTTCTTCTTGCTGCAGGTCATCTTCTGTACAGCCACGAGAATCATCTGTCGGGTAAAAACATAGTTTTATTCCTGATCGTGAAAGTTAAGCTCAGTGGAAAATGCAGAAAATAAAAAGAATAAAATAAAAATTGCTTATAGTTCTGCTACCCTCTGTGATATAATTCTTACTAGTGTTGTGACCAGTTATATTCTTGTGTACAGTGTGCTCACTTCAAGGACTCAGTTTGGGGTGCTCACTGAGAAGGAAGGCAGCAGGGCAGCCCCATCAAAGTCTCTACTGATCTTTTAAAGCCAGGTCACCGCACATCAGGACTCCAAAGTAGACCTCGTGTTCTCCAGAGAGGAGTACGAGCCTCACTCAACCTGTATGGACTCTCAGTCTATCCTTTTTCACTTTCTATACTTCACAAATTTTTTCCAGTGTTTTATTTAGGGACTCATCGACTTTCTCTTGACAGTGATGATTTGTAAAATTTGGAAATATCTATAGTTTCTAATTTCACTTTAAGGTCATCAGAACATCATTTTATTATAGAGTCTTTTGTATATTTGAATAACGAAAGGCCTTTTTGGATTAAGTGGTATAGTCAGATGGCTCTAAAATATTTTTTAATATAGAAAGGTAGATCAGTAATATTTACCTTCAGCCTCTCATGCGTTTCCAAAGTTGCCCCTTGCCCTCAAGGGTAACAGTGCTCATTAGTTTCAGCTTTATTCTTTCATAGGTTCCAGATAGACAGATGATAGATATCCCACCTGTGTGTAAGTGGAGGTATGTGAGGTGTGGTAAAAAATACAGTGAATGTTTACATTTTAAAAATTTATTGTAGGAAAAGACACATTACCATGAGTCCCCTTCACAATCCTCCTCTGGCTTCAGATACACTGATCCCATGGTTCTTACCACCTTCTGAACCAGTTCTGGAGTCTTCTTTTGTGAGTGTCTTCAAAATGTTTCCCTTTCGTGGTCATTTCAACTTTGGGAAAGAGCCAGGAGTCTCATGGTACCAGGTCCAGTAAATAAGAAGGATGAGGACACAGCATAATGTTTTATTTTACAGAAATTCCTATAAACATTTAATCGAGAAGTGATAAAAATATGATTAGTATTTAAAATTTTCTTATTTGATAAATATCATTTATTAAATTGTAAATTTTTTTAATCAAAAAGAAAAATGCAGATAAGAGAAACCTCAGACTTCAAGAGCTAGATGGCAAAGCTTATGGGAAAGAACCCCATGAAGTGTGTTACAAAGATTCTGAATCAAAAGTTATTAGCTGTTTCTTTACATTTCCATTTCAATAACTTTACTATAAAATTGGTGTTACTCATCTATTTTTAAACCAAATTCACATCTATCTCCACATTATGTTAAAAGCTTCTTGCTCATAATGATACCACCATCTCACAGGTACCCAATTTTAGTAATACTTTTATGCCAACCCATGCAGAAAAATAACAGTGCCAGTCGGGTGAGGACCATTAATGCACAGGTAATATACATACACTGGCCAAAAGAACTAAAGAAATTAAAAAAAAAACTATAAAGCAAGCAGATGTCAAGAAAACTGGAGTATTACTAAACAGGTCTCAACTATTAACACCCAAGTTCCTTACATTAAATAATTATTTCTCAACAGAGACATGTTAGACATTTAGTTTTTCAGCTTTATCCTTCCCAGACCCATTCCCACCCATCTCCCAAAATGCACTAATAGGCATGAGTATAATGTTATATGGGCAGAAATTTACAGATAACCATCCAACCTTGGGCACTGAGCTGAAGAATCTATTTAAACTTCTGTTACTGTGCACTGTCCATCAGGTCTTCTGGATCTGACGCTCACTGTTCCACCCCTTGCTACTGACCAGTCAGTTCCTGATCGATCAACTACTGTCTGGTTTGCATTGGGCACCAGCAGTCTCTGTTGGGTCAAGGAATGCTGTCCAATAACTGCAGATACATCCTCACTATCACTACTGGCATCTGACTTGGTTTCTTCGATGGAGGTGTCTGGCACCCTGCCCAAAGACGGGGATTCATGGTCTTCTTCTCCTTCTCCCCTATGACTCCTTTCATATATGCTGGCTCCACTCAGTTGCAAATGAGTGAAAGAGACTTCCAGAGAAGTGCCTGCATCAGGGGATGGTGTAGCAGGGCTGGTCAGCTGCCCATCCACTGATGTCAGGGGCCTCACAGCACATGACACTGGAGGCTGGACAGATGCTCCGCTCTGTTCTGACATGCTGTCTGCACTGTCAGCAGAGCTCTCTCTTGCTAGGTTTACAGAATTTGCTTCACAATCCAGCCTAAGTCCAGCTACTCCCTTCTTTGGTATATCTATTATATCTCGCTTAATCTTCCTGTGACATCCATGTTCATTTCTCCTATATTGAACCATATTCTCAAGATCAGCACAACATACAGAAACCCGGCAATTGACATTTCAGTGTTCTTTTTACCTTTGGAAAAAGCATCTTCCAGCTCTCTACTAGTGTGCTTATCATACTGCCCCCACCCATTTCTTCCATCATAATACCATGCGTATTTGCCATTCCCTCTGCTTGCGGCCTTGAGTTCTTCTGGTGATGACAAGGTTGGCTTGTCAAGGAAATCCTCAGGAATTTCTTATCGACAAAGGGCACATGAAGCTCCCTTTACACACAGATAGCAGAAAACATGCTTACAGGGCAGACTGACTGGGTGAACACGTTTGCAGACAAATGGCCATTCAGGACCCGTCAGAGAAGGGGGGCATTAGAACAGGACTCATTTGCTTTCCTGTTCATAGGAAGCATGTTTATTGAGTGATCGATTTCTCCACAGCCAGCCATCATTTCTCTTTGCTTCAGACAAACCTCTCCAATTTTTCTTAGAAATGTGTCTTGTACTATAATAATTTTAAAAAATTAAATATTTACTGTATATTCTCTCATCCCATGTATATGTACACATATACACATGCATATTTGTAAGGAAATACAAATATATTTACATTCCTCTTTTAATGTAAAAAGTAGCAAAATATACATACTACTCCATACTTAACTGTTACTGTTAATATATTTTTCAGATTTTTCCATGTTATTACATGGAAAGTTTCCCATTCTTACATATTTGCTCACTATTTCATATTTTGAGATGTAACATAACTTATTACCTAGTACATCTAATGGATTAAGTGATGGAGATTTAAGCTAATTGTCACCAACCTATAATAAATAATCATACATATATGTGTATGTAGTTAAACTACATCAATGGGATTATGAAATTATGAATGGGATTATGAAATGGGATTAGGTGAAATTCACATAGTATCACAATCATTTGAAAGTGTACAATTCAGTGACACTTAGTATATTTACATTATTGTGCAGCCACCACTTACATTAAGCTTCAAAACATTTTCATCACCTTAAAAGAAAACTCCATATCCATGAAACATCATTTACTAATCCCTCTTACTCCAAATTCCAGGCAGCCACCTGCCTCTGTGGGTTTGCTGTTCTGGATGGTTCGTACTTCTTTCACTAGCGTGTTTTTCTGGATCAAGTAAAATGATCATGTGAGTTTTTCCTCCTTCATCCTTTTAATGTGTTGCATTTTCATTGATTGATGTTTTTATGTCATGCCACCTCACCATCTCTTGAGTCTTTATACACTTTTTAAGATGCCATGAAGGCAGATTGTGGTATATTCTTATGAACATAAAACTAATTTGTTGAAAATGTGATGAATGGTATGGGCCTTCTCAAAAAAATAATTATAATATATATTTGCCTACCATTTTAAAGAATTTGGGGTCTTCAAGAAGATTTAAGAAACTAAGGTATAAAAGGTTTACTTAAGATTTTAAAGAAAAGTTGCTCCTAGCATTTCAGGGAAATATATGATTATTCCATTTTAGTTCTGTCTTATTTTAACCTATAAGGTACTTGTGTCTTATTTAATGTTGTTATAATTAATTTATTTCTGTGTAAACTAAAGCGCCACTGTCAGCCATATCCTGCATTACATGGGACACTCCTGGCGGTTTCAAAAAGCTCAGGTCTTTAGAGCAGACAAAGCTTCTGAGTGACAGTCCTTAGAACCTTCCATGGAGATACTGCTTTTCCGATTGACCCTTCTAACCTCAGCTCCCCTGCTTTCTGGGAAGCTCTTGCTTTCCTAGTAGGAGGTAAGTGTCTGCTTCCCGGCTTCCCAGAACTTTCCTCTGCTTTTATTTATTATGATATTCGGAACATTTTCTGGCTATTAATAGAGCAGAACTTGCGCCTTCATTGTCCCCAGTCCTGTGACAAACCAGTGACAAGCTTGAATATCTCATGGTTGAATCATGTTTCCTGAGAATTTTATATGGACTTTGACTTGACTTTATTTCGCTGTACTGATTTACGACTTATCAGCATGAAAGCACCAAAGCATTGTGAATGGAGATGAAACCTTAACAGGAGTTGCTGTCATTGGCCACACATGGTCAGCACGGCATGTTGCATTTAATTGTTCTTTCAGTAAGAGGGTGACTTCGTGCCGAGATGAGCCTTAGTGTCAATCATGTGTAACCACGTGAGTCCCCCATGGAGTTTTTGGTCCCCCATGGAGTTTATGGTCACACAAGTTTGACTTTCTAAGTAATGTTATTTTGAACAATTGTTCTTACAGTAAATGGCAGTTCATGAGGCTGAGAAGCCCAATAGAAAAAACCCCTGATTTAATCATTAAGGGCCAACTTTGAGGAGACACATACTGTCTATGGAATGATACAGTAAGGAGTTCCAGAAATCTCCTAAAACAGCTGGAATACTGGAGAAAATTGTCAAAATTGCCTTCTTCAGAAGTCTGGAAATCAGCAGAGGGCTTTCAGGTGTTTTAGGAGCGCTTATCCCAGGAACAGATTGACTCTTGCTCAGCGCAGCAGGCTTTGCTTCGGGCTGCTTTTTCTTGCCTTATTTTACCTCTCTCCTCAGCTGCACAGCAGTTTGGAAAAGTGGACCCTTTGAAGCTATGATAGCCAGGAAGACCAACACCTTAGCAGCTGCTAAAGGGGACAGAGTAGCTCGTTCTTAGGAACTATCAGAGTCTGACACATCTGGCCGAACTCTGGAACAGCCCCATTCATAGCATAGCTCTGTGTTAGTCAGCCTGGCTCAGAGGTTACCTAAAGCGAACAGCCTCATCCCCAGAACGTTTGTTGAAAACAATCAATAGCAGTCACTCAACATTGTAGCTGCCTGGGGTGGCTGTATCACCTAGGGCAGGCAAGGAGCTAACTAAAAAACATGAAAGGACAACATGGAGAAAGTGATAGCTGTTGGAAAAGCTCAGGTACACTCCTGGGAATCAGGAAAGCCAGGCATGCCTGTAGGGCTCTGTGCGTGCTTAGGAAAGGCCTGAGTTTCTTTTCTGGGCCTGAGCTAGAGGCTGTGTGCAGCCAGGAAGTAAGGCTAAAGCAGAACTGTAGAATATTAGAGAGCTGGCATGGCGATCCCCTGTCCACACAGAGCCCACCTGCAAAGGCTGGGCCTTAGGGGTTCAGTGCAGATAAGGAAATCTCCATGCAGTTGTTATCTGACCACAAAAGGAACCAGGAAGAGAGCTCAGTGGCCCTCTATGACAACTGTTTTACAATGCCTTTGTTGTACTTAATACAATACACAGGAATTATCCAATATTAAAATTTTGCTTTCTCAAAAATCAGTTGATTTTCTTAAAACAGAATCCAGTAAACGATTTGTTATATCACCTTCAATATAAAGCATTACCTCCTTCTCACACCCTTTTTATTGGGGAGTAGTATAACCACATACACAAAAAAGTGTAGTAATCATAAATTTATGGCTTTAGTGACCACATTTGTGATAACAGCGTCTCCTGTCTCTCAGTTATTCTTCCAGAAGGCAGTGTTCGTCATGACTTTTAACACTGTAGGTCAGTGTTGCCTCTTTTATTGTTTTTATTTAGAATAGCACATGCGAAGGAATGTTCTTAAAGTGCCTTAATCCTAAGTATACCATGGTATGAATTTTAGATGCACACTCATGTAAC